TTTTCATTATCGCATATTCATGAATCATCTTAATTAAGGTTTATGACTATATAACAAAATATCTTCAGCTTGGCTGAGAACTTTCCCTTCAGCTAGAAACACAGCATCTTGTGATGCTTCCACTGTGGTTGTTGTTTTTGTTTTACGAGATGCTGAGAGTCCATACACCTTCCTGCTCTTTGCAGCCTAATCACAAAGTCCTGCTCTCCCTTGACAGATCTACGTCGATACCACCTTCCCATCTCCAGCTACTGTCCTAAACCCACTTCTAGTCCTCCAGTGCTTCCTCTGTTAACAAGTTAGGATTTAGGTATCTATTCCTACAGGTTTCCCAGCTACAATTCACTCTTGACATTATTCCAACCACTTTTATACCTGTTTTCCAATCAATTTACCTACATAAATGCTTCAGGTTCTTTGGGGGATTGAATTGCACCCACTGATCATAAACTTTGTCCAATTCAAATGCCTTAGATCCTTCAGCATTTGAGGGATTTAAACAAATCTTAGCAAATAAATGACCTAAGGGGTGAAAGTCTTTCTGTTCTTTTTGGGAACTAGATACCAAAGGTAGAGGTTTTGATGTCGAGATAAAATAATTCTGGCAATGGTATTAAGAGTACAGATCAAAGTGGAAAGCAAGGTTTGTACTCTCAAAAGGATCCGTTAAAATCAGGGATCCACTGACATGAACCCGGCTTCTGATTCAGATGGGCCACTACAGGATGATAACATTTTGTACCATCTGCTGGAGTAACAAACATAGAAGGGAAAATAAAATATGAAAGGCAGTGATTAGCAAGCACAGCAGCAAGGACGGGTTACTCAGCTAACGTGAACGAAGTAGTGGACTTCCTACAAGTTCTAAAAACCATCGTCAGCAAAGTCTATTATGTAGTAGATAAGGAGGGATACACAGGGTGGTGAAAGAGGGAGACTGTGAACACCAGAGGTTAGTTAAAAGATGCCAGTTACTCAGCAGACCTAGAGCGTAGTAAAAAGAGGAAACAAAAAAACCCCCACACCCATAAAATGACCTAAAATGACAAAGTGATAATTTTGTGGATTTTTAAGAGACTTGAAATAGAGATTTTAGAATATGCTAGATATGCTTTAAAAAAAATTAAAAATCTTAAGTATCATGATGTGAAATCTACTGAAAAGAACCACTCATATCGAGACCTTGACTACATCTGTCCAGCTGTAACTCATTAGATGTTTTTGATGGGCACTTTGGAAAACAAGGAAAGCATTGGTAATTATATTGGGATAAGCTTGCCCAGATGCTCCAGATTATATCTGCCCTGTCCTAATGGTTTAGGTACACGTAGGGAAGAACCAAAAAGTGTAAATGAACTCTTTTAAGCTTTACAGCCTTGCAAAAAATCTGGGCCAGGAAGCCAGAAGATGATAGCAACCCAGGTAACATAAATGTCCTTGACAGTCCAACATGTCTAAGTAGAACTAAAAAATTCTTGCCCTATGTGCAAGTGTTCTCCTTCCTTAGTTACAGTAAAAAAAAAAAAAATCCGAGGGAGCTAACCCTGGGCTTCTGGAATCCTTTTATTGCATTTAGCATATTATCATATTTGTGGAAAAAACAGGTCTTTTAAATAGTAAAACCTTTGACATATTAAACTTCCATCAGTCTTTTGATAGTAGAAACCAAAAGAAAATTCACATTGCACAACCATGTGAAAATAACAGCACCACAGAGCAAACACCTGCATCACAAAGACGTTGCCTTATCTCATCCTCTAAATGTATTCTTGCTACCATGTATCCCTTAATTACATGGGCTTGAGACTGATTCATCATCTTCAAGGGAATCCCTCAGTCATCCCCACTTACTCTGCTTTGGCTCGCACTGCCGACTGGTCTGAGAGCATGCACACTGGAATCCTTCTGGAAGAAATTCTCCTCTATCTGCTAACAACTGCAC